TTAAATAAAAAGGAACCAGTTTTTGATTCATGTAAACACTTAAAAAAATTGATTTTATAGTTCCTTCATAAATTCATGTTGCGCTTAACCTAAAAATTGGGGTTTGCGATGGGCCGGGTTTGCCTGGGCCTGAATCTTTTACATCATGAGCCAAAATATTACAATTCATTAAAAAGTTAGCACGTCTTAAGCTGAGTTCATTCTCCGACGGCATCTTGATGCCGTCGGAGGATGAAATTTGTTCAAAATTATAGAATTTTATATTTTTGATGTAACTTTTCTTGTGCTAAGATAAGAATTATTAATCACACACATGTCAAATACGACTTAAAGTGCCTAATTAATTCTACCAAAATTATGTTTATCAGAGTTACAAATAAATTAACAAATTATATTCACCGGAATTACGAATTAACTCTACCAAAATTGTGTTTACCAGAGTTACTAATTAATTCTACCAAAATTATGCTTACCAGAATTACGAATTAATTCTACCAAAACTATGCCAAATTATGTTCACCAGAGTTACGAATTAATTCTACTGACATTATTTTACCAGAATTACGAATTAATTATGTCTACCAGAGTTACGAATTAATTCTACCAAAATTATGTTTACAAATTAGTTTTACTAGTGTTCCGTACAGATCGAATCAGATGAATCTTTCACAAGATTCGGATTCGATCCGAAAACCGAATCGAATCTAAGCTTGGATTCGGATCCGTTTCAATTTCGGATTCTTTCGGATAACTTTACTTTTCTGTTCGGAATATTTCGGAACATTAAAGTTTTTTAGTTACCCGAACGGATCCCAATGTGGTTCCGCACCTGCATGAATCTGAAAATTATGGATCCGGATCCGATCCGGTGACGGATCCGGATCGAATCCGGATCTTTGAATCCATTTTGCGGAACACTAAGTTCTACTATAGTTATGTTTACCAGAGTTACGAATTAATTCTACCAAAATTATGTTTACGAATTAGTTCTACTATAGTTATGTTTACCAGAGTTACGAATTAATTCTACCAACATTATGTTTACCAAAGTTCGAATTAATTCTACCGAGATTATGTTTACTAGAGTTGCGAATTAAATTCTACCAAAGTTATGTCTACCAAAGTTATGAATTAATTTTACCAAATTATGTTTACCAGAGTTACGAATTAATTCTATCAAATTTACAAAAATTATATTTACAAAAATTATGCTTACAAAAATTATGCTTACAAAAATTATGTTTACAAAAATTATGGTTGCAAAAATTATGTTAATTTTTTCTTTTCGATATAACATAAAGGCGTTTAATGGACGTTTTACAGGGTTAAAAATCAAGGCTGGAACACGTATATTTAGTTCCGGCAATTCCTTGATTGTTTTCAATTTCTTTGTAGCATCTTCACGAATAAGAATTGGTGAGTAACCTTGTGGGATAAAAACTGATATTCAATTTATATGTTCAATATTTTGAAAAACATCAGATTCTTCAATCGAAATGAAATTATTCGAAATCATTTTATTCATATTTACTTCTTAATAGTTTTGGATGTATTGTTAAAATATAGAGTTAGTTAAACCAATTTAGAAGTATTGAGTTAAATTGTATTATTTCTTTTAATATTTTTGTATCATATGCTTTATAGAATAAAAATAAAATTGTAAAGTTAACAGTTTGTTTTTAAAACATTATATAATAAAAGCTAATTCAAATAAAGTCATTATAAATCTCATTAAGTTTATCACAATCTTTAATATTCTATTTTCGCCTGTCGAAATTATAACATAATTTAGGGTTTTATTAAATAAAATTTTATTAATTGAATAACTTAATCTTTCAATTTAATCAATGAATCAATTTTTTGCTTTTATAATTTTTATTCAAAGTTGTTGCCATTCTTATATCATTAACATTCTATTATCCAGTATAGTGTTCTACAAAACAATGGTTAAAGAGAAAATATAATTAATATTCTTGATTAATTTCGTTTTTAAAAGATCATAACATCCATTTGAATAATCAATAGGAACATTAAAGTTGAATTATAAATCTTCTCTCCAATCTTAATATAATAAATCGGTCTGTATATTTCAAATTATAATAAAATAAGTCTTCTATAATAATTTTATTTTCAGATTTCATTAACAAGAATAACCAGCTAGCTGGGTAATGCGATAATCCTAATACCAATGCATCTCTTTTATAACTTGAAAGTTTTGCAAGGTTAATAGCTTCATTTTTAAATTCTTATTCTTAAAAATTTCTTCTGAATCTTTTTTACTTATTTTTTTTGAATTTTTACACGTTGTTTTGGACATTATTGCTTTTATTCTCATGAGTAAAAAGATTATTTAAACTTAATTTGGTAACATTGATTAATAATATTAAATATAATTGATATTGTCACTTAGAATATTTGAATTAAAGTAACTTCAGTTTGAGTGACCTGTAATTATTGTAAATATAACTTTTCCCAGTAAATTAATTCACAATCTGGTATTCAATAAAGTAAATATCAGGCATAACTTATAAGGCTATAAAAAACAGTTCAAATTACTCTGCTTGGCCAATTACAGTATATAAGAAAATAAAAAAAAAACTTAGCCGCTAAACTTTGAATGAAGATTACTTGGCACCTAGCTTATCAAATTTAATTAATTTTCTTTTTTATTTTATTAATTCTATGCCCTTTTGGATGTATAGCATTAGTAGATTTAAATAAAAAAGGCATAGGCTTTTTAACTGACTAATCATGTGACTTATTTCAGCATCCAGGGATGCTGAAATACTATGACGTGTATTTAATATGGTGGCTTTAGTGTTAGCTTTCATTCGGACGCCGTCAAGCAAAGTGAGATCCGACAAACTGTTACACAAAATGATAAAAAAATTAACATTAACGGTAAAGGAAATTTTTATGAAAATTTTTATTATATTTTAATCGGCTTCAGTATCACTTTGTTGATGCAGATGATTTGATCACCTATTGGAATTTTTAAATTCTTGTAGTTTTTCTTTGAATTATTTTCAAGGCAATTTCTATATCACTCGACTTGAATTGTAGGATTATTTAAAAAATTCAGAATTATTTAATATATTGGATAAAAGTAAAAACTTTGCGCTTTTTAAATGCATAGTAATTGTGAAAATTTTTTATTAGAAAATCAATACCAATACTAATATAAGTTAGCATTTAAGCTTAAATTGAAAATATCTTATTGTAATTTGGCATAACATTTATATATCAATATATATCAATATAGAATAATTGTACTTTTTTAGCATTACAAAGCATTGACCCTCTTAAACTGAAACGCATGTCAAAGAAAGAATGGGCCGACCTTATTAAAAAAGTTGAAGAAAAAGAGCCAACAGATAACATAGATTATTATAAACTATCAGATAAAAGTTTAAAAAAATTAGAAGAGAGTATTTAAAGTTTATTTCATTCAAATAATTCATGTATTAAGGCTTTCCTTATTGCTTAAATCTTTACTGAATTCACTGTATACTTTGTAGTGCATATTATATATATAGGTGTTATGGAAAATTACAATAAAGATTCTTTTAATGTAAAGCTTAAATGCTAGCTTAAAACTTATTTTATTTAGTTACTAAAAGTTTGGTGTATTGGTATTGATTTTGTAAGTCTTTGATTAAAAAACTTTCAGCAATTACATTAAAAAGCACAAAATTTTTACTCTTATATCAATTTATAATGTAATTCTGAATTTTTAAATCATATAATTCAAATAAAGCAATAAAAAATAATTAAAAAAAAAACTGCAAGAATTTAAAATTTTAATAGAGGATTCAAGTTGGCTAATATAATGCAGATCATTTTTCTTTTGATCAAATCGGCTGGCATTAACAAAGTAAAAATTCAAAAACGCAGTTAAACAATTAAATTTATTTATAAACGTTATTATAGTATGATACAACTGGTTTAAGAGAGAGAAAATTATGAAAGGTAAGCCTCTTTAAAATTATTTATTTTAACGAATTTTAATGCTTTTTTTATATAACATATTTTTCTTAATCATATGACAGTGCAAACTCGTATTTCTCAATATAATTTTCGCAAAAGTATTGAAAGAACAAAAAAAAACCCCGTTAAAAGTAGGTCTTCAAAATGAGACTATATCATGATTCATTGAAATAGTCAAAAAAATAATTCGAATTTGATTATCACATTTAATTGAATTGATATTTTACAATATAAGTACATAGTCATGATTAGAAACAATTTTTTGAAGTTCGCCTTGAAGTTCTTGAATACAATTTGGCAACATTTCAAAGTCGACTATTGGGTATTCTGAAATTAAAGCTTTCAACTCTTCTTCACTACCTATACACAAACAATAATGTTGAACAAATGGTTTTATTAAGAGATTTTGATAGAATAAACGAAGACAATGTGATCACCGTTTACAAAGATAACCCCACGAACAATTAACGTGATTCAGATTAGCACATTCATTAGTACAAGTATAATAGATAGTTTGACAAGTATTTTGTTTTACGAGGTCGGATCTATCACAAGTCAAATAAGCATCACAACAACTACCTACTCCCAGCATTCCGACGCTAGCATAACAATAGTGACAACAAATTTCGATTGTGTAGCCCCGAGGACAAAAAATAACTTGTGTTTTGCCAACTGGTTTATTGGGATTAAAAATACCACAAATTATTAAAAGAAGAATAAAAAAATTTATCAATTTTATAAGGTTAATATAATAAGTTATTCAGGGTCAAATTAAGTTTCTTTTTTACTAAAGAGTAGAAATTCATTCATTATTTGAAGAGTTTGAAATGCATGTTATAAATAATCTGTAACGGTAAATAATTACTGAATGTGATCTGTAGTACATTATACGTATCAAGATGTTATCAGTTATGTAATACTAGAATACGAAACTGTAAACAATATTAATACTTTGAAAGACTAATTAGTCGTAGAATGAGTAATTTTAAACCTAAATATTATAATACTCACTTCATGAACTAGTCTAGATTC